CACACACACACACACACACACACACACACACACACACACACACACACACACACACACACACACACACACTGGCCTATAACCTCCCAGTCTTAGAAGTTTATTCAAAGTCGAGACCCCTGACACTGGGACCAAGGAAGAAGAAAAATTCAGGACTGCTAGAATCTCCAGCCTAAATCCCCCACGGCAGCCAAAGTTGTCTGTTTCTTGGTGCTCCTGTCATGGTAACCTAGACCTTTGCTTACTTTTTCCACCTCTGAAAATGCCCCCTCCTCTCTACTCTCATCCTTGAAGGGCCTCACCTTTCTCTGATCTCCCTTATCCATTGCCATTATTTGAATCTCAGCAAATACTAGGTATAGTTTTATGCATAACACAGCTGTAAAAATCAGGACCTCTGGAGTCAGGCTGCCTGGGTTTAAAGCCTAGCTCTTCCATTTACTAGTTCTGTGACCTTGGAGCAAATAACTTCACCTCTTTGACTTTCAGTTTTCCCATCAGTAAAATGGGGATAAAAACACTAATGATCTCATAGGATTGTTGTGAAGTTTAAGTAAGGCAGTCTACTCAAAAGCACTTAGTCCAGTGGTTTACAGTAAGCACTCTATAAATGTTATCTATTATTGTATTATTGTGCCCTGCCTCTCGAACTAGACCATAATGCATATCATACCTCCTAGGAGCACTGTAGACCTCCTAGCCCAATGTGCTTTTCATTATATAGGCTCACTAAGGACTCAGTAGTTTAAAAAGCATTAAGTTTAGCAGTCAGAGATCCAGTTCTTCTTCTGGCTCCATTCCTTCCTAATTGTGTGATCTCAGGCAAATTATTTAATTTACCTGAATTTCAGTTTCTTCTCCTGTAATATGGGAAAAAATACCCATCACACAGGGTGAGGATAAAATGATATAGTGTGAATTTTCCTAACAGAATGTCAGACACGTAATAGGATCTCAGCAAATGTTAATTCAGTATGACTCTGGGAGAAAATAATAACAGATCTGTCCCTAGGAAAGAAGAGGAGGTTTTCTAGCGCTATTGCCACTCCTACCTTTGCCTCCTAATATAAACTGTTTTGGCTTTCCCTTGGGACCTGAGACCAGATGAGCACCTCTCCCCAGACAATCCCTAGAGTGGTGGGTAATGAGGGAAGCCTCTGTGTTAGGCTGTGTGAGACCCAATGCCAAGACAGTGCCCTTTGGAAGCTGTACCCAGAGAGCCTAGGACAGTGCCTGGCACATGGTGGGATCTTCATAAATATTTGGTGAATAAAAGGGAAAAAAAAATCTCCTGGTAATGAAGCTGGGGGACATTCTACCCATCTCCCCTGCCCCCAATCCCAGGGATTTTGTTTTGTTTTGTTTTGTTTGATGAGAAAAAGGCTCTCTTCTACCTCCATAGGAGATGTCATCCAAGCTAGAAAAAGCACTATGATTTATGGGGGAAACTACAGTCATTGCTGTAAACCCTAAATAAGACAGGAACTCTCCAACTGGCAGACTTCTCAGCAAACCCAATTCTTGTCTCCCAAATCTGAGGCTCCTCCCACCTTGCTCTCATTGCTGCCAGACCCTAAGGTGAGCTCAGCCATAGCTCTTCCCACACTCACCCCTACCTTTGGTCCCCGTTTCCTCTCCTTCAGGGACTTTATTCCATCCTTATCTCCAGAGCATGTATTAATCCCAGTAAAAACCCTTCAGAAAAGCTGTTCTCTGACAGCACTAGGCTCCCTGAGGGCATTTCAAGCCCCATTTTCCATTATTAATGGGCTGCCACAGCAGAGTGGAGAGTTCTTCTGTTCCTGCCCAGCCCCACCCCCAGCTGTGTCCCTGGGGGGAGAAGGGGGCAAATCCTAGACTGTGTGATTCCTACATGAAGACTGTATTGGTGAGACTGGAGTACAGGCTGTGCCTGCATAGATGGGGAGTGAGTAGCAACAGCTCAGCTATAATTAGTCACCCCCACAGCAGAGCCTGCACAACAGGGAGAGGAAGGGAGGGTCTGTGGTGGGAGGAGGGACCACTGGCTGCTCAGAAGTGGGGAGGAAGGGGCAGAGGCAAGGAAAAGCAGCTCTATTCAAGGAAAGGAGTCTGAAGCACAACCTTTATTGTGCAGACTGAAGGAGACTGGATGTATGAAAGCATCTAGTGCAGGCAGTACAGAGTATAAAGACCCAATAAATGGAAGTTTCTTATATCCTGAGGTGGGAAGAAGGTAGACCTGAATTGGGGCGGGGGGCACAGCTAGGCACAAGAAGGGGGCACCTTTAGGGGAGCAGAGGGGGGATAGAGGAAAAGTGGCAGTTTAGTATCCCAAAAGAATGGACACTTGGCGGTGGCCTCCAGGAAAGGCTGCTTCCTCAGAACCAGGATGCCTGGGTTTGCAGGAGAACACCATCCCCTCAATGTCCCCACACGTTTTCACTGCTGACAGAAGCTTTTAGGAGGCTGGGGATTGGTGGAAGAGAGCCCAGATCAAAGAGCTTACTTCAAGGAGAAGAGAGGAAAGGGCAAAGGAATCTAGGGATGGGGCTGGAGAGAGCTGGGGCAGCCCTTTGAGAAGGCAAATCCTCAGGGCTCCCACTCGAGGAGAGGGGGAGGAGGGAGATCAACAAGAGGAGGCGCAGAAACAATGTGAGAGCCTGGATTTGTGGAATCGGAAGCTAGGTCGGGGCACTGTGCAAGAAGCCGGCCCGGATCTGGGGACTAGGGGTTGGGGGCGGGTCCAATGACGGCCGCCGGCCCTGGCGCACGCACACACGCACTCACCGATTTTAGCCAGGCTGGCCACCAGGATCCAGAGGGCTACCAGGTAGGGCGCCTCCACCTCGTGCCACTGCCAGCGGCAGAGCGCCAAC